GAATAGTGGGATTGACCGTCACATTATAACGCACCCACGGCTGAAAGGGCGAGCATGTTTAATGTGACGGGGATTCGAACCCGCGACTCACAGATAGCGAGTCGAGCGCCCAAACCACCTGGCCATGCCGGGCCCGACTAGAAGGAAGGCAGCTAGTAAACACGACTCACCGCCAACTCTTGTGCTACTGTTTTACCAACGAATAGTGGGATTGACCGTCATATTATAACGCTTCCACGGCTGAAAGGGCGAGCATGTTTGGTAACATGGATTCTAACTCGCGACCCGCAGATTGCGAGTCGAGCGTCCCCTAACCACTAAGTCATGTCAGGCTTGGGTAATTTTGAACATAGTGCAACACCCATATTCCGGGCTGCTCATTAAATATTTTAGTATCAATGTATAGCTGGGTCTCTTATCTATCTGAACACAGCAAGACATTTAGTAAGTAGCCTTCCCCTCCACCTCCTAGAATAGCCGTTTATTCGAACGTCTAAATCATCTCCAAATTTACACCAATCATAATTTACAAGAAACTTAGTAAAGAATTTATTTATAAATCTGACCTATGATGATTTGATTTAGACCTAATTCTGGATGAACGTCTTCTATAAGCGAACAAGCCCACAGATTTCCACAATCAAGTATTTTGGAATTATAAACAAAAAAGGTGTTTAGATTTAATAGACCCTTAAACCTCGTTTGCATGCACGTACACATCTAGAAATTTAAAACATTACCGTGAGAAAGTGTAAATACAACTAGATCATTTAATGACGTCATGTTTGCGATACATTTATTATACATTACCACTAGTTTCTACCAATCTCCTGAATTGTAAATGAAGAAACAATATTATACTTTCAATCAGAATTACAAAACGATCCCACGAGTGACGAATTTCGAGTTTCTATTTGTTAATCTTACCTCGGACCACAAGAGTCGCCGTGTAGTTCACAGAAGATACAGCATTCTTTGCATTACACGTGTATCGACCATTGTGGTCAGGCCTGGCACTCTCTATAATTAAGGAGCTATAATCTTCACCCGGAATATTTATAATGACGTCATCACGCTCTGGCAAAAGAGGCTGGCTATCTTTGTACCAGCTAAGCTGGAATGGAGGATCGCCAGTAGCAACTGTACAAAACAGACGAATCTTCATCCCTTCTTGTATTTCTCTTGGAAAGTTGAAAGGTAGAATAACTGGTTTTACTTGAAGGAAACGAGACATTTGGAATCAGTGCCAAACCATGAATAAAAATACTTTAACAACTGTATTCCTGTGGAATGTTTGTATAAAATAAATACTATTATATTTTTTTATTTGTAAAAGACACACGAGAAGAAAAATAATAGATTTGACAGTAGTAATTCTATTTATCGTCATGATTTTGGATGTTTGACTACATAAATAGCATATGTATTACTTTCTTTAATAAAAAAATCAAAACACAATTTACCTTGAACAGTAACTTTCACACTTCCCATGGCAGTGGCGCCATCTCTGTTTCTGGCTGTGCACGAATATATTCCTTCATCTTCGACTTTCTGGATGTTACTAATGGCGAGGCTTGCGTTTCGAAATAGCCGTTGTCTCTTGTTGGTGGGTAAGCGTTTACCACCTGAGTTAACATAACAACGCTCTGAAATATCTAAGTAACTTAAAATTCATAACCAAAGAAAAACAAACTTTTATGAGAAACATGTAGCAATAGGCACGTGATAATGGGAACGAATAGGGGGGGGGGGGTATGCGTGAAATAAACCACCTCAAATAATATACTTTCATCTGGTAAACGCTCGTATACACATGTGTGTATGTGTAGATATTTTTTTATAAATTTGTGTTTTTGTTTAAGAATATGTCGTACAATAACATTATTGTAAAGAAAGTAGACTGCTGCACTTTTTATAAAAGGGGTGTTTCTGACGCACACGTTTTACACGAGTCGAGAACCTGCTTTCTATTTATTTCGTAAGTTTACACGCTACAGAACAAAATATTTCACTGGGAAACAACACGTGTGCTACAAGTAAATAAGAATTACAGTTTTAATCACTATTAATTCTATTAATTCATTTTAATCGGTGTGGTAAATACTTACACTAATTTAAAACTTGTAAAAGAGTAATGGCGCTCGGCATTGCTGGAGATTTGGAGAAACCTAATCACTTATATGTTAGAAAGTGTTTTCTTTCCGTTTCACACTAGTGAATATCGACATTAAGATAATTTTTCTGGTAAACTTATTCGTTGACGTCATAGTCGATGAAACGTGATAATGGCCCTCATATGAACAATGATGTCTGGTGTAATAATGACCGTTATATGAACAATAATGTCTAGTGTAGTCTGATGTTCTTGTCTGTTATACTATATAAATATAAAATTTTACAAGTGCAATTCGTAAATATATTTTATTTTATAGCTTTTTTTGTATTTAATAGGTGGCGATATGTATGATGTTTCTTGACGCTCACAGCAATTATTATTATTTAGGCAAGTTAAAAAAGAAATTAAGATAATTATCCACTACCACTTTTTAAAATAATAAAAATTGGGATAAAGCAATATTTTAGGAATTATAAAATAATTATACATCTTTAAACAATTCAACCAACTTTAAATCGTACCTTTATCCCAAGTGACCTCTTCAATAGGATAGCCAGCTACACGACAGTGGATAAGCAAGTTTTCTCCTGCCACAACTGACCTGTCCTTTAAAGTTTTGACCGATGGAAGTCCATAAACATTGAGCCTAGCAGAGTTTTGAATTTTTCCGACCTCGTTCTTGGCTGTACAAGTGTATAAGCCACCATCTTCCACGTGTGTATCAGTAATATTCACGTGACTGACAACGTCACCACTCCGACTGACGAAGTCTCCAACACGCACTCGCTCGTCGTCTTGGACGGGAAACCCATCCACTGACCACGTGACTTGAGGTAAGGGTGTTCCAGAAGCAATGCAGCGTAAAGAGACGCCAGGTCCCGGCTGAATTATTTGTTCGTTAAAACTGTCCAAGAACGCAGGTAGTGTTTCTGTTTGGATGATAATTATTTTATATATAATTCGATGATATTAATAGCATTTATCGAAACAAATGCTCGTTAAAAAAAGAAACGTAAGTGACTGACAAAGTGTTACCTGAATATTAGACTCATCATCATCTCAATGACCAGTTCATCATTAGGAGTTCACTGTTACAGTACGTTTGTCATTAAAATAAGCCACAGTAGAAGATAAATTGGATTTGAAAGTGTTTTGTCTTAAATACTTCACTAAAGTGTATATAATGGAGATAAAACTATATCAACAGTACTAAGTATGACAGCAGAACACACACGTATTTTATAATTCAAAAGGCACGAAAATTGAACCTCATAAATTTGCATAGCCTAACGAATTCCTACGTCTGATGGTTTTCCAAATGTTTCTAGTAAACCTAAACTGTTTCTGTAGCACCCCCACTTTTACATATTTGACTTATATAGCATCTGTAAATTATATTATCATATTAATTTTCTGGGAAACATGCCCCCCAGCCTTTGACAGCACTGGGGCTGCTAAAAACAGCTCCTTATAGTTTCAATCTTTCGTTGTAAAATCTGCATTTCTAGCCAAGCACCCCAACTTTGCAATTCCTTCCTACACCAGTGATAACTCTTATGAACATGCTCAGAGCATGTGTATTGATGATCAGTGTAAACAAAATGCTTGCTTAAGCCATGCTTAACAGCAATGAATCTCATCCCTAGTATTCCTTCAAGGATCACCAATACGCGTGCCCCGAGCACGTGGTTTATAAGAGTCAGGATTTCCAAGATTCTGATTAAAAAAGCAGTTTAGGATCACTAAAAATATTTGGGAAAACCATCAGACAACAGTTATTCGTTAAGCCTTGCTTTGAGTATCAGATTTTAGTCTGAAATAATTAAATATTTTCCCACTGCGTCTATTAGTACCCGCGTGAGACAGCGGTAAGTTTGTAGACTTACAACGCTAAAATCCGAGGATCGATTCCCATCGGTGGATAAAGCAGCTAATCCAACGTGGATTTGCTCCAAAACAAATCTGCATTTATTAGTCGAATGTTGACGATTCTCTAATTTGTAAAAAAAAAATGAAATTTATAACATTTCGGTTAAATTGCACCAACCTGTTTTAGTTCTTTTTAATTGGCATTAATTAGAAATGAGAAATTCATCAGCCCTCGAGATGTATAAAAGACAATCGAAGTTTAGTGATTGAGAAAAGTTTAAAGAAAAGGCTGAGCATGTTCTGATGGTTAGTGTTCAGAACTGCTTATCAATATGTTCCAGGTTCGCGTCGCGATACCATTAAACACGCTCTGTACTTTCAATTGTGAGTGAATTATAAGAGTGACAGTCAACATATATTAGGTACAAAGTCCTTGTAGCGGCGGGCTCTGCTGAATGCCTGCCTTTTTCTGGATTGTTTGTTTGTTTTTGAATTTCGCGCAAAGCTACGCGAGGACTATCTGCGCTAGCTGTCCCCAATTTAACAGTGTACGACTAGAGGAAAGGCAGTTAGTCATCACCACCCACCGCCAACTCTTGGGCTACTATTTTACCAACGAATAGTGGGATTGACCGTCACATTATAACGCCCCCACGGCTGAAAGGGCGAGCATGTTTGGCGGAACGGGGATTCGAAACCGCGACCCTCAGATTGCGAGTCAAGTGACTTGACCACCTGGCCATGCTGGGCCTCCAGAGTTATGAACCCGATATGCCACATTTGCTCTGGATTTGTTTGTTTTTTTTTTTTTTTGTATTTCATTATCAGATTGAATTTTAGTTTCACTCTAAGTAAGTAGCTTACGCCGACTGGAAGTTAATATTAATTATTAGTAAACACAGTTTTCTGCAATAACATTCTTTTTGTACGAAAGGGCTCATTTCATTTGTTGGAAAAGAGGGAATTCTATTTTACCAAGGTTACAAAACCGTTTCATAACCTTAGTATCGTGGAATAGGAACCTACCCGTAAATTTACTCATCTAGTTTATAGTTTTAGGGATACTTAAGGACATTACAATAAAGTATTAACTGAACTATAGTAATTGTTATTACGAAATAACCCAATAGACAAAGCCACAGTTGCCCTGTTACGAGATACATTTCTGTTTGTAGTTAGCTATCCAGGTGGATAAGGCGCTCGACTCACAATCTGAGGG